ATGTTGAATGCCCATTCACAAAGAAAAGCAGAGGAATAGAAGATTTGAAATCAAAGTACTTATACCAACCCATCACACTATGTGTTGAAATGTGGATTTCTTTCCATGTTCACTGAGTGTAAATTTTATTTAAATGAACTTTTTTTGTGTCTCTGGCATGTCAAGTAACTGATTTGAAAGCTCTTTTTCACTGACTTTATGACATCATTGAAGATGCCATAGATTATGGTGCTTCAGAGCAGTAACTCTGGAAAGAGACAACACATGAGTTTGCATCTTCTAGCCACTTCCCAGGTGTGTGAAGAAGGTGCTGCACCTCCCTGAGTTTCAGCTGTGTCACCTATAAATTGGGAGTTTAAAGTATAATGGAATTAAATGAGAAAAAATAAGAAAAGTACTTGGCCACATGGTATGACTACAATATAGTCTGCAAGTCAATTCTATTGTTGCTATTAGTGTGAAGGTCACAGTGATAGAGCATTATCCATATTCTGTCTCATAATGCCTGCTGCTACTGATCATTATCCAAGTACCAAGGCTTTGGAGATAAAATGACTCTGGATCCTCATTTCTCACCTTATACAAAAAGCAACTGAAAATGGATTAAGGAATTAAACCTAAGACCTGAAACTATAAAAATTCTAGTAGATGACATCGGAAAAACCTTCTAGATATTGGCTTAGGCAAGGATTTCATGACCAAGAGAACCCAAAAGCAAATGCCATAAAAACAAAGATAAATAGCTGGGACCTAACTAAAGAGCTTTTGCACAACAAAAGGAACAGTCAGCAGAGTAAACAGACAACCCACAGAGTGGAAGTAATCTTCACAATCTATACATCTGACAAAGGACTAATATCCAGACTCTACAACAAACTCAAACAAATCAATAAGAAAAAAAATCAAACAATCCCATCAAAAAGTGGACTAAGGACATGAATAGACAATTCTCAAAAGAGGATATTCAAATAGCCAAAAAATATATGAAAAATGCTCAACATCACTAATGATCAGGGAAGTGCAAATCAAAACCACAATGTGATACCACCTTACTTCTGCAAGAATGGCTATAATCAAAAAACAGTAGATGTTAGTGTAGATGCAGTTAACAGTGAACACTTCTACACTCCTGATGGGAATGCAAACTAGTGCAGTCATTATGGAAAACAGTGTGGAGATTCCTTAAAGAACTAAAAGTAGAACTACCATTTGATCCAGCAATCCCACTACTGGGTGTCTACCCAGAGGAAAAGAAGTCATTACTCAAAAAAGATACTTGAACGTGCACGTTTATAGTGGCACAATTCACAATAGCAAAATCGTAGAACCAACCCAAATGCCCATCAATCAACGAGTGGCTAAAGAAACTATGGCATATATATATATATATATATGATGGAATACTATACAGCCATAAAAAGGATAAATAAACAGCATTTGCAGTGACTTGGATGAGATTGGAGACTATTATTCTAAGTGAAGTAACTCAGGAATGGAAAACCAAACATTGTATGTTCTCACTGATATGTGGGAGCTAAGCTATGAGGACGCAAAGGCATAAAAATGATACGATGAGGCCAGGCATGGTGGCTCACTCCTGTAATCCCAGCATTTTGGGAGGCCGAGGCGGGCGGATCACGAGGTCAGGAGATCAAGACCATCCGGGCTAACACAGTGAAACCCTGTCTCTACTAAAAATACAAAAAATTAGCCAGGCGTGGTGGCGGGCACCTGTAGTCCCAGCTACTTGGGAGGCTGAGGCAGGAGAATGGCATGAACCCAGGAGGCAAAGCTTGCAGTGAGTTGAGATCGCGTCACTGCACTCCAGCCTGGGCAACAGAGCGAGAGTCCATCTAAATAGATAAGTAGATAAGATAAAAGAACGATACGATGGACTTTGGGGACTTGGGGGGAAGAGTGGGAGGGTGGGCAAGGGATAAAAGACTACAAATATAGTGCAGTGTATACTGCTTGGGTGATGGGTGCACCAAAAGCTCACAAATCACCACTAAAGAAGTTACTCATGGCTGGGCATGGTGGCTCATGCCTGTAATCCCAGAACTTTGGGAGACTGGGTGGATCACGAGGTCAAGAGATTGAGACTATCCTGGCCAACGTGGTGAAACTCTGTTTCTACTAAAAATACAAAAATTAGCTGGGTGTGGTGATGCACTCCTATAGTCCCAGCTACTCAGGAGGCTGAGGCAGGAGAATCACTTGAACCTGGGGGGTGGAGGTTGCAGTAAGCCGTGATCATGCCACTGCACTCCAGCCTGGCAACAGAGTGAGGTTCCATCTCCAAAAAAAAAAAAAAAAGAACTTACTCATGTAACCAAATGCCACCTGTATCCCAATAACTGATGGAAAAATTTTTAATAAATAAATAAATAAAAATATATGTGGAAATATTACTGGTAAAGGCTTAATCATGAGTGTACAAACTTTAACATAATACCCATTTACACACATAGCTCTTTGACTTAGAAAAAATATCATGTTGTTAACTCTTAGGATCTGGGTATTCATACCTGAAAAGAACAATTTGAGGCATGTAATCTTTCCCTAAACATGTGCATAAATATCACGTCCTTTGATTCACATCTACAGCTCAGTCTAGTGTGCATTTGCTATTTGAAACCTTTCCTTAGTTGGAATGTTTGGGATATGCTTTGGCACTGAATCACAGTATTCCACAATGAACAGAAGAAACATACTGACTACCAGCCTTGTAGCATGAAAGGTCTTGTGCTTGCCTTCATGCCTTTTCAAAGATTATCTCATTAAATCTTTTCACATGATTCTCATGTTGAAACAAAGAAACATTCATTGTCATTATATTTGTGAGAAAATTAAGACCTGCCCATAGTCAACACAGCTAATAAATGGCAGAGATGGTTTTCAAACTCAAATCTGCCGAATACAGTCTTTCCATTTGCTGTATAGGTAGGGTTCATCATCTGGAATCTATTTCAATTAATGACTAATAAATGTTTCTGATTATTTTCTCAAATACCAGATTAATGAGATACACTTCAAATGCCTAAAACCTGTATACGTGAATGAATTCATAAACTAAGAAGGAAAAACATGAATACAGTTTTTATAGTTAAAAATCATTGCCCCTATTTCTCATTTTCTTTCTCATTTCTTAATACTGTTTCTCTAGTCAGAAACCATGATTGGTTTTGCCTAGATGATACCTGATCTCTACTATCTATCAGCTCTTAATTTTTCATGCAACTCTGGAAACTGAATGGGATATATGTGCAAAAATGTAGATGACTTACTCTAAGAACCTATATGCAGAAGTGACAATTCAGACTGATTCAGTGTTACTTTTAGGGATAATGGTTTAAAATACTAATTCCATAACATATTTTTAAAAATCTTGGTTTAGTTCCTTTTGAAGAAATCTCAGACCGTGTCCATAAAGATAAGAAAAATACCATGTTCTACCCTCACCTGGTGTCCATTGAATAAAAAGAAGTTTATTACATCAGCAATGTTTTTCAAATCATAGCTTTGATTTGTTTTGTGCTGAGTATGTGTGTGTCCTTCATGTGCACTTTTCACAGCCCAAACCTGGCAGTCTTTGGGTTGCTATGATTAGGTGTTACGTGTCAGACCTGCCTGCTTGAGCCCCAACAGGACAGAAGCTGTGTTCTCACAATGCTTGCCTTCTAAGTTGGCAGTCAGATGGTACTTAACGGAATTTTTATGAATACATAAGTGATGAAGACAATAATGTACAAACTTAAAATGTCCCTAATTCCAGAAGAATACAGTAATTAAGATATGTATATGTGTAATTTTTAAAATATCCTTAGCACTCCTTGAAACTAAGCCTGAGTGTGGAAACATTCCAATTTGTAACTGCAGCCTTCCTGATTGTTGTTAGGAGTACATGAGATAATCATCATAAAATACTTACCAAAATGGCCAGCATGGAGAAAATCATCAGCAAATGTTACTCTGCTCTAATGTGCACAGCTAGATAGTATGCAACCCTGCACAACATACTTGAATTAGAAGCCTTAAATCCGATAAAAGGTTATTAAATCAAATGTAATAGACAACAAAAAATGAAATGGCACTTAACACACTCCTTATTGAGAGGATTTACATTTGAGAGGGTGAAAAAAATGTTTCTTAAACAATAATATATCTCACTTTATTAGACATATTTCTTATGTTAACTCATTTGTATTTGTAACGGCTTATTTACCTATACTGTGATCTTTGAGTTTATAAATGTCTTATCTCTCTAACCAGACTTGATCTTTTTGAGTTAATAAAACATTCTTCTAAAAAGAACCATGAACGGTACCTTCTAAATATTTTAAAGTACACCGCAAAACTTTAAAACAATCGTGTGTCTGTATTTATGTCTATTTATACATTTTATACGGAGTTGTGTTTGTGTATAAAGAGGGAGAGTCACTCTCCGGGTATATATGGAGAGACAAGTATAATTATATATAATAGAATGGTTTGTGAAGTGAACAGAATTGTATCAGACAACCCGATTTTGCATCCTGATAATGATATTTAAATACAGAGAGGTCTTGGGCAGGTTACTTAACATCTTTAAACTTCAGTTTCTTCACCTAGACCTGCACTGTCGAATATAATGTCCTGGCATGATGGAAGTCTTCTATGTCTGTGCTGGCCAGTGTGATAATCACTAAGTGCATGTGGCTATTGAGCACTTGAAATGTGACTAGTGTCTGAGGAACTCAATTATAAATTGTATTTAATTTTAATTATTTTAAATCTAAATAGGCACATGTGGTAAGTAGATATTTTAGCAGGCAGTATAACCATAACATAAAGGAGGATGGGACAATATCATATGAAAAGAAGCTCTCCTGAATTCCCCAGGTATGGGTGCTACCAACACAGTTTTGAGCAGAATGGTTCTCTTTTGAAATAGTGGTACTCTCCCATGATATCTTCGGACTTTAAAGTGTAAATGCTTTTTCCCTTATTTCTTTCAACAGATCTTGACAACTTTAAAACAAGAACAAGAAGCACTGTGTCTGTCCGTCGAGGTCAAGGAATGGTGCTACTGTGTGGCCCGCCACCCCATTCTGGAGGTACATATAAATGCACTGACATGTGCACGCTTCACTCCCTGTTATTTTTCTTGCTCAATGTTCTCCCTCCTGACACCAGCTGAGTGCACAGTGTCATTTATAGAGATTCCCAAAGCCCCTCCATGTAGAGGAAAAAACCATTGTGAATGCCTCCCATCATTAGGATAGGAAAATATCAGATTGTGCAAATTTTCCACCCCACTGCAGTCTACCTGGCACAAATAGAAAGACACCTGAGTCAATCAAAATCAGAATGCTGTTGCTTGGTAAAGCAGTGTCATTAAAACTACTCATTCTTCTTACAACTTGATTGGGTTAAAGAAGATGGCCCTGATTTATTCTATCTCCTGGTTGGTCTGGGAACTGTCTGTGAACTATTTCTACTAGCAATACTTCTGACACCAAATGTATGGGTTTTTTTCCACACTAACAACCAAGTCGCCAATCTTCTGGACACCACCTGGCTGTCCAACGATTCAGTTCCATTTTTGACAGTAACTACCCCACTAACTACTCTGGGATGGTTAGTGTCAGAACTCATAGGAGAAAGGCTCAGTCCCACAAGGCTGCCCCCACTTCAAATGCCACTTTCAAGTGCTTGACCTCCCATACTTCTGAGTAACTGGCTGTAAAGTGGGACTCCCAAAACTCCCTCCTTGGCCTCCATATTTGCTAGAATGGCTCCCAGAACTCAGGGAAAACAGTTTACTTACCATACCAGCTTCTTATAAAAGATATATAAAGGTTGCATATGAACAGCCAGGTAAACATATAGAGAGAGAGAGGTCTGAAGGGTTCTGAATGCAAGAGTTTCTATCTTTGTGGATCCTCCCCACATGTGGATGCATTCATTAACCCTGAAGCTCTCCAAACTCTGTCATTTAGAGTTTTTATGCAAGTTCTGTTATGTAGGCATGATTGATTGAATCTATGGCCATTGGTAATTGAACTCAATTTCCAGCCCTTCTCCCATCCCCAGGAGTGGGGAATGGGGAGGCTGAAAGTTCTAACCCTTTAATTATTTGGTTGGTTCCTCTGACAACCAATCAGTGGGCCTCACCAACAGTCACTTAGTTAGAATAAACTCAAAGTATTGCTGAAAAGGGCCTATTTATGAATAACAAAAGACACTCTTCTCACCAACATCACTCAGGAAATTACAAGTGTTTTGGGACGCAGACCAAATATATATATTTCTTATTAATTGCAGTGTCACAGGATCAGACCAAGAACAGAAGTTCCTTGACCATAGAATCTACATCACTTTGTGGAGACTCATAACAACTAGATCAGTTAGGAATGCGCTGGGCTGCAAATAACTGAAAACCCAGCTCATAATGTTCTTTTTTTCACATGCAACATTTTCTCTTTCTTTTTTTTGAGACAGAGTCTCACTTTGTCACCCGGTCTGGAGTGTGGTGGTGTAATCTCAGCTCACTGTAACCTCTGCCTCCCAGGTTCAAACGATTCTCATGCCTCAGCCTTCCGAGTAGCTGGGATTACAGGCATCCACCACCATGCCTGGCTAATTTTTATATTTTTAGTAGAAATAGGATTTCACCATGTTGACCAGGCTGCTCAAACTCCTGACCTCAAGTGATCCACCAGCCTTGGCCTCCCAAAGTGCTGGGATTACAGGCATGAGCCACTGCACCTGGCTGGCATGCAAGATTTTCAAAGGTATACAATCTAAAGCTAGCACAGCTTTTTGAGGATGTCTTCCAGGACTCATGCCCTTCTCTGATTCTTCTCTGAGGTGCTTAGCATGTGGTATGGATGAGGCATGAAGTCTGCATTCCAAACCAGATCAAATGGGAAGAAGCAAAGACAAAAGGCAGTAGTTTGTTTTTGCTTGTTTTTGTCATTTCAATTTACCTTTTTTTATCGGAAGTTTTCTTTGCCTGAGGACTTTGCCTCCATTTTATTGATCACCCCAGTGGCAAAGGAGACTAAAATATCAAGTATTTTATGCAGATATATTATGCCCTGGAAAATATCATAATTTTACTAATAAGGGAGAATATGGAGAGATGTGTAGGCAATTTGCAGCATCGGCTAAAAGGAACTACGAATACTAAAAGACAAATATAACTGCATATAAGGGATTCACTAGTGTGGAGGTTTAATAAATAGTAATATTTATTAGGATTCCACTAATGTCTGTAATGACAAGATTGATAAACTCTACTCTTGGAAATCCAGGCTGAAGTTTAGTTAAATATCTGCTATTCTTGTTACTGTCTTAATTTTCAGTTCGGCTTTCCATATGATTAAAAGAACAAACTTTTTAGATTTGGAATTTGAAAACACTATTTTATTTTTGTCCTCTGTTCAAAAGTTGTAAAGTTTCCTTTCTCATCTAATTCTGAGCTAACATTTCCAGCAGAAAATAACAATTAGTAAAGGAGCTAAGAGGCGTGTACTTCAAACATCCTGCATACGAAGGAAAGGTGGGAGAGGCAGGTTCCCCTCTATGTCTGGATCAGGGACATTGAATTGTTGGGATTTCTGGCTTTTGAAGACTAACAGAAAATCTAGGTTTGATTTCAGAGGTTTGTGTTTGGAAAATGGGATTGTTCTTCAGGATTTCATTTTCCTTTCAAGTTAGTATCAGAAGCACTAAATTTGGAGTCTGGGATATGAGTTTTGATCCTTGTTCTGTTTCAAATCATTATTTGATACTGGGAAAATATCTTCAAATTATTTATGCCTCACTCTGCCTATCTATAAAATGAAGAGATTAAAAGAAGTCTCTCAAATCCCTATTGATCCTATCAATACATAATTATAACTCAATAAGGGCTAAACATCTTGTTTATCAAGTGTGTTTGCATTATTGAAGGCCTGTCCTTTATCTGAGAAAACCACTTCACTGTGGACATATATTTAGATTCAGGTGAAGTTCACTCAGACTAACACTTCTCTTTTTAATATGAAATCTGATCAAAATAAAAATGGAAGATTTTACTAATTTCTTCTGCATGCTACCTTCACTGCATTAAGTTTTCATCACATGGCAGCAACCCGAAAAATTAATCTTGTAGATATATTAAGAAAAAATACCACTAATGTCTGATATAATGATCTCTTTAGGAAAGGCAAAACACATGAAGTGATGCTGTGCTGCTGCACAATGAAGTACCTGACTACTTTCCCTTTCCCACAGAGAAGTATATTAAAAATTTCCGTAGACATCTACTGAAATGCACTTGTCTCTGCTGGCAGCAGTCAGCAGCTCTGAAATCCAGTTTCTTGAGCTGTGCTGACATTCCTGACAATCTTGATGGTGAAAGACAAGGAAATAAATATTCTTATTATGAGCTCTATTAGAAACGGTGCACACAGTAACGCTGTGGGCAAAGCAGGCACGGCTAAGACGTTTTTGAGAAAAGAACAAAGAAGATATTCAAGGTTATAAGAGAGCATCTCAGACATCCATCAGTTTTGGACAAGGGAGACAATGATTATCTGATGAAATCCTTCCAATTTCTCAAAAGCCTCCAACGCAACTGTACGGCAGTGATTCTCTCACTGCTTTTCTGGGCTGTGTGTCACCCTAAAGCTGGAACATTCACTGTGAGCCACTGGACATACTGAGCATTTTAGACCCAGCATATGGTCTCCTGGTTTCCATTGTAACAGATCATGCAGAGGAAAGGAAATGAGTCAGCCTTTTATTATATCAGTGGGGTACTGAGTAATGGCATGAAATCCATTGTAAGGGACGTTGCATGTCCTATTTCCAAAGCTGTGTGGTGTCAGACCTTCTTAGGGTAGCAGAGAAATGAGCAGCAATTAATCTGTTTTGAAAAGCATTTCAGTCAGCAGGTATTTCCAGCACTCTACCAATCACTATGTGTGGTCTCTTTGTCATCTCTTGGTTTATATGTATGAATTCAGATGTGATGGTTTTGCATAGATTTTTACCATTAAATATAAGAAAACACCAAAAAATAGAAATCACCCAGATGGACTCTGGCTATCCTTGGTGCTCCTTTCTATTAGAAACAGAGATTATTGAGGTCCAGAATGTCCACTTTGCTTTCTGCCAACTTCAGGGTCACTGGGCACCAGGAATTCATGACCTTTAACCAAGCTCTCATTAAATAGGAATAGAACAGAGGAACTTTGAGATTCTTCCTTCCAATGTATGAAAATTTCTAGTTTATTCATCAATAAAATCCTCACGAACTGTTCATCAAAAGAGGTTTTTGTTCATGCCTTCCTTTTATGTCACCAAGATGCTTGCTACTCAAAGGGTGGTCCATGTACCAGCAGCATTGGCCTCACCTGGAAATTTGATAAAAAGGTAAAATCTAAGATCCCACTACAGCCTACTGAATTGGAACTTGCATTTTAATAAGATCTCCAAGTGATCATATGCACATTCAAGTATGACCTGAGTCAGTCATAGCTGTGGTTCCCACACACACCCCACCTCTGGCCAGTGAGGGTTAACAGCTTGAGAATCTGGAGGGCAAATTGTTAAAACCATAGGTGTCCAACCTGTTCACAAGGATATTCTGATTCCATAAATCTGGGGTAGGGTCGTCAAGGCTGTTAAAAAACAAAAAACAAAAAACAAACAAAAACAACAGGCCAGGCACGGTGACTCACACCTGTAATCCCAGCACTTTGGGAGGCCGAGGCAGGCGGATCACTTGAGACCAGGAGTTAGAGATCAGCCTGGCCAACATGGAGAAACCCTGTCTCTGCTAAAAATACAAAAATTAGTCTGCTGGTGTGCGCTTGTAATCCCAGCAACTTGGGAGGCTGAGACAGGAGAATTGCTTGAACCCAGGAGGTGGAGGTTGCAGTGAGCCAAGATCGCACCACTGCACTCCAGCCTGGGCAACAGAGTGAGACTCTAGCTCAAAAAAAAAAGCTCTAGCTGACTTGCTCACTCTGAGGCAGCACCAGATTTAAGGTCCATTCACTTGGATCATCTACAAAACTAGCCCAGGTCCAGCCCTGCTGAGATGGAGTGCTTTGATTTCCAT